ACACGCACACACACACACCCACCCCATCTCTCTCATCGTTTCTCTGGTTAATTTGTTCTCCTCAGGTTTATTCGGCAGCAGAGGTACACGCACACGCACACACCACACACACACACACACACACACACACACACACACACACACACACACACACACACCATCTCTCTCATCGTTTCCCTGGTTAATTTGTTCTCCTCAGGTTTATTCGGCAACGAAGGTGGCTCCACCTTTGGGGGCGCGGGATCTTCCTCCCCGTTTGGTGGGGGAGGTGGTGGTGGGGGTGGGATGGGTGGAGGGGGCTTCAGTACCGGGGGTCAAGGGGTCGCTGCTGCAGGCTTTGGCGTGTCCTCGGCCAATCAGGCGAGCTCCTCTGGTGAGTGGCCTTGTGGCAAGTTGTCTGTCAATTGTGTTGTTTTGTTGTTGTTGTTTTTTTTGGTTGGGGGGGGGATGGGGGACGGAAGGGTTCGTTTGTTGTTACTGTGTTGTTTTCCACGTTTTTATTGTTGTTTTTCTCTGTGTGTTTGTCTCGGACACTCTCGCTGTCTGTCTGTCTTTCTCTCTCCCTCTGTCTCCATCTCACTGTCTGTCTGTCTTTCTCTCTCCCTCTGTCTCCATCTCACTCTTGCTCTCTCTCTTTCTCTCACTCTTTCTCTCACTCTTGCTCTCTGTCTCCCTCTCTCTCTCTCTCTCTCTCTCTCTCTCTCTCTCTCTCTCTCTCTCTCGCTCTCTCTCTTTCTCTCACTCTTGCTCTCTGTCTGTCTGTCTCTCTCTCTCTCTCTCTATCTATCTTGATCTCTCTGTCTCCTTCTCTATGTCTCTGTCTCTATTTTAATCTCTCTTTGTCTCCCTTTCTCCCCCTCCCCCCCCCCTCGCTTTCTCTCTCTCTGGAAGTATTATGTTAATATAATGCCCTGTTTGTGCGTTTTGTGCTGCAGACACTCATGACATACTGGTGACATTCCTCGGTCAGCTTCTTCCTAGGAATATTCAATTTATACATTGTTTGTTCTGCACCTTATTCAAATGAGTAAGAGTTGTAGCTTTTTGTCTCCTGCTTCAGTAGGTGGTTGGCAGGTGCTCTGGTGTGGTTTGAGGTTTGCCCCTTCTTTCCTATCAAACATCTATAGTGGGTGGTTGGCAGGTGCTCTGGTGTGGTTTGAGGTTTGCCCCTTCTTTCCTATCAAACATCTATAGTGGGTGGTTGGCAGGTGCTCTGGTGTGGTTTGAGGTTTGCCCCTTCTTTCCTATCAAACATCTATAGTGGGTGGTTGGCAGGTGCTCTGGTGTGGTTTGAGGTTTGCCCCTTCTTTCCTATCAAACATCTATAGTGGGTGGTTGGCAGGTGCTCTGGTGTGGTTTGAGGTTTGCCCCTTCTTTTCTATCAAACATCTATAGTGGGTGGTTGGCAGGTGCTCTGGTGTGGTTTGAGGTTTGCCCCTTCTTTCCTATCAAACATCTATAGTGGGTGGTTGGCAGGTGCTCTGGTGTGGTTTGAGGTTTGCCCCTTCTTTCCTATCAAACATCTATAGTGGGTGGTTGGCAGGTGCTCTGGTGTGGTTTGCTCCCTTTCCTATAAAACCACTATAGTCCTTTTCTCTCCTCCTTGTCCTTTTCTCTCCTCCTTTTTTGTGTGTTATTCTCTTGTAACACATCTATTCTACGACACATATATGACCTTGTTGCGTTGAAAGTGCCGTAAAACTCGTTCTAAAACTAAACTTTTAAATAGATCTATCATACTTACCTCTGCTGTCTTTTCTTTGTACATAACTTGTAATGCCTCTAATCTTCCGCACTTGTGTGACTTATTTGTGTTGCTCTTTCAAAGACTTAAGGAAAACTCTTGTGTTTCAGGCTTTGGAGGGTCTCCAGCATTTGGGGGCAGCCCGAGTTTTGGCAGCACGTCCTCGTTTGGTGCCAGCAAGCCGGGAGGTTTTGGTTCCAGTCCAGCCTTTGGCAGCAGCGCGGCGTTCAGCTCAGCCCCGTCCTTCTCGGGCAGCCTGGGACAACAGTCGTCGTTTGGCTCATCCGGGGGAGGCTTCAGCGGGTCAGTGCACCAGCGTTGTTTTGTCCAGAAGTTTTGTCTGGTTGTTTCACATTCTTTCCACTTCCATGACCTAATTGTGTTGTAAGTGCTGATGTAAAACTCTTCTTTTCTTAAACTAAAAAGAGATTGTTTACACCTTGCCATAAAATCCAACTTTTACAGAACGAAGAATTTGAACCTTTTTACGTGTAGCTGTGAGTCTGACACGAAGACTGATGTTTACTTATTTTCTTTGAATTTACCCCCCCCCCCCCCCCCCCCCCCCCCCCCCCTCACAGTTTTGCCAACGCTGCTTCGCCGTCATTTGGCTCTCTGGCTCAGTCGTCTCCCTCGACATCTGTGTTTGGTGACAGTAGCGCAGGGTCCGGGTTCGGAACTTCCCAAACACAGTCCTCTCCCTTTGGTGGTGGGGGCGGTGGGTTTGGATCCCCGCAGCCTTTTGGTGGCGGTGGTAGCGGCGGTGGCTCTCTGTTTGGCCAGAGCTCAGCTAGTCCTGGCTTTGGTGGAGGGCAGACTCAAGGTGAGGGATCTATGTGTGCGGTTGTTTGTTTGCGTTTGTGTGGGATGCGAAATGTTTTCTGTTGTCGATGGCAATCTCAGGATGTGTGCTCTGGTGTGGTTTACTCCTTTTTTCCTGTCAAACATCTTTCGTCCTCATCTCTCCTTCTTTTCTTGTGTTTGATTTTTCTCATTACACCTCTTATCCTCGGCACTTATATGACCTTATTGTGTTGCAAGTGCCTTTAAACTCTTACTAGACTTACAGTACTCCTTTCACTTTTTGTCCTGGTTGAAATTTGACTGTGGACCGAAGAGGGATTTGGCTGAATGTCTTTTTACATTAACAAAAATTTGTATCATAAATGATACCTCTAGAAATAGAGGGATGGAATTAATATTTCCTTTTTTTTTTTTTTTTTATCGTTTAAGATTCCTAATTTTTATTGTTTTATTTGTAAACTGATGAGGAATTGTAATTTGTGACTATAAGGTGAACAATATTCATAATTTATTACATTTTTTTGACATTCAGCTGAGCATGAATAACTAGAACACTTCAGAGTAGGGCAGTTTGGTCTTCTTCTCTATCATTACAATAGGAACTGTTTCACTGATGTAATGTACCGTGCATTGTATTGGCGTTGGTGGTCTAGTGGCCAGGTTGGGCTTGAAATTGAAAGGACGTTGGTTACCCCCC